CACCAGCGTGTGTTAACATTCATGTTAGTTGTCCCTGGAATCCGGGTTCAGAGGCTTCCTGACCAAGGGCACAGGAGCCAGAAGAGATTTCAAGAGCCCTGGCAGACAGAGCACCCTCAGGATAGGAGCCAGGAGAGCCCAGAGCCTGGTCAGGAGACACCAGTGTTAAAGGTTTGCAAACATTCCCATCTTCACAGAAGGAGGAAGTGGAATGAGACTGGGGGCATGTGAAGGGAGCGGCTGGGAAATCTGGGGGTGATGCTGAGAACCCCTGGAGGATGGAGATGCCAAGAACATTTTAAAAATAGGAGAAGTGGGGATCCTCAGAAGAAAAAAAAAAACCCAAACCTCAGGCACTCAGAAAAGATGGGTTGAAGACATAAGGATGAAAACAGCACAGACGGCAGAAATCTGGCCCACAGCTGCTGATAAAATTCAAAATTGCTCCAGTGAGGAAGAAAAAAGAAGAAAAGAAAAATGAGGAAAGGGTAGCAACGATTTACTTCGTGGTCAGACTCAGAACTTGCCTGGGAAATGATGAGGAAGAACTTGGGAGGCTTTGCAGAAACAAAATAGCTTTGACAATGCCAGAAGTATCAACACACCATGAACTGCTAAAGGTGAGTGTGAAAATGGTTCTCATTGTGTTCCACGGTCTGAACCTTAACTGACTGTGGGGGAAAGGAGGCTTTAGCAAAGGGGGATGAGATTGCTATTATGTTACCAAGAATATCAAGTTTGGAAAATGTCCCCACCTGCTCCCTGAAGGTGTTGCCATGAAGTTCACTGTAAATAAATACAAATTTGAAAGTGGTCTCAAGATGGAAGAAAAATACTTCTGGAGCCACTCTTGAAAACACAGGGCCTTGGGGTTTGATTTGTCTTCATGAATACACTAATAACAGTGACTAAAGGTCGCTGCAAAAAACCTCTGTTAGGATCATTCGATATATAGTAAACCTAGTCATTCATCTAAGACCTTTAAATACAAAATAATGTAAACAAGCTGCCAGGTGAGCTTCCTTTAAGCTCTGTTATTTATCTCTGCAATGCTCAGTCTTAGTAAAGAGGCGTGCAAGCAAAACACACAACAGAGGGCCAAATCCAGGAAAGGGAGGCCAAGCCCTTCTAACAAATGTCTGAATCTAAAATTCATGCTCCGCCCCCCAGGGTCTCAATATAATTTTTGACCAAGATTTTCCTCTACAATGCAACTGGATTAAAATATAAAGTAAATGTTGAAATTAAAAGAGAATTGAAACACTCACACATCTGAGGAAATGTAGAAGACAGACTTTTCCCCGTTCTTCCCACTTCCCCACCTCCCCAGGATGCCACTTCTGGGCACACTACACGTTACTCAGGCATTGGAAAGATAAGGATGCTCTACACAGGCTTCCTATTGGAGCGAGAAGGTCATGAGATTGGTGACATTCTTGAGCTGCTCTGATGCTATCAAAGAAAAGAAAATTTACTATCATCTATAGGGATTCAGACTGCTTTCTATTCAGGATCTAATGTTTTAGGGCTTTATGAGAGGGGCTTTCCACTTCCCAGTGGAAGAAGGGGTTAGTTAGAAGCACAAACAGGAGATGAGAGGCCAGACTCCTACCACTCCCAAGTCAGACCAAGGGAAGGAATCAGCTTGGATATCGGGGTAGGTCAGTTCACATTCCAACGAAACTCAAGGATGTGTCTTACTATTGTCCACAAGACTCTTCTCCATCGTTATTTTCAAAGGAGTGGCTTGGGAGAGCCCCCCCAGACTACCACCGACAGATGCACAACAGGATGCTCTGACTTGCAAGCTCAGCTTCAGGGTAACGCTCTCCTCCTCTAAGGAGTTTTCTAGCCCTAAGCAGCTCCTACCTAGATATGGAGGTGCCAACACTGCTTGTTTTTACAACCCCCAGACATTTTTCCCCAAAAAGAACACCTCTGAAATGGGCCTGTGTGTTTGTTGCAATGTAGCAGGGCAGAGGGACAAGTTGAGAAATGGCCTTCTGCTCACTGCCACACAGGAGAATGGAGAAATTGGTCCAAGAGGTCTTCAGAGATCTCCAGGAATAAAAGAAAGAAAGTCAAAATCCTCTCTAGTCGTATGAGCACAGGCTCTGCTCTGAATGAGACTGCTGGAGACAGATCCCACACACACCTCTGCAACTTCTGAGGAACCAAGCAGTCTTGAAGGACTGACTTAACCAATCAGAACTTCAGCTCCCTCCCTGTAAATTCACTGGAAGGATTAAATTAAATAAGGTACTTGGGGTTATTCTGTAAACTTCAAAGCACTACCCTGTGCCCGTCAGTAGTGAAGATAATAGAAAAAGAAACTTAACTTTATTTTTATGAAAACAAATCTTTTAACTTTCTGCCCCTTCTTTATGGCCATATTTATTCCATCTTTAACTAATAGAAACATCCTTTATCTGTGGTGGTTTAACCAAGTCTCTATTGTTTCAACCAAAAGAGTCTAATTTCATAGCAATTTTTATTTTCTTGTCACTTAGCAAAGTGAATACCTCTACACACAGCTCAGAAAAAAGCATATGTGATAAATACATTATCACAAATACTTGTGATACCCATAATCTATAAAAATTACATAAGTCTTGTGTTCAAACCTCTTTCTGAAAACACACGACATCCATTTTTCTCAAAAATTTCTAAAGCTTCCTTAAGAGCATTAAGAATTCCTTATAACAGCTGCTCACATACAATAGAACTGAAAGACTAGAACAGTTCGGTTTTTAAAACAGTTACACTGTTGGCTCAACAACTGACAAAAGCTCTATTATGAATAAAAAATCATTTTTAAGTGAAAAAAATCAAACTCAGACTGCCTAGACTCTTAATGGAAGAGATATTATATAAGCCAGGAGTTCTGCTATGTGGGAAAGAAAAAAGTAAAGCCAGAAGTAAGTAAAGACTTATTTAAGGGAGAAAAAAAGTAAACCAAGGATTTACTTAGAATTAAGCTATGAGTATTTGTAAGTAATTCCAACACCTAAGGATACTTTCTGTAGCTTTTCCTGAATCAGAGATGTGCAATGCCACAAAGCTATCTTAGAAGTCCATCTTCTGGGGCGCTGTGCTTGTTACAAAGCAGAAGAGAGCCTTTCAGCCAGAGACCCCATCTTCCAGTAATTCACCAAGACGACAAACACAAAGGGAAAGGCAGAGGCACCCAATACACGTTCTCCGGGCCTTTTAGAAATCATGACCATATACATGGGGATCTGCCAGAAAGGTGATATTGTAGACATCAAGGGAATGGGTACTGTTCAGAAAGACGCCACACAGATGTTACCATGGCAAACTGGAAGAGTCCACAGTGTTACCCAGCTGTCAGCATTGTTGTAAACAAACAAGTTAAGGGCAAGATTCTTGCCAATAGGAATTATATTTGTGTTGGGCATATTAAGCCCTCTAAGAGCCAAGATAGCTTCCTGAAACACATGAAGGAAAATGACCAGAAAAAGAAGGAAGCCAAAGAGAAAGGGACCTGGGTTCAACTGAAGCACCAGCCTGCTCAACCCAGAGAAGCACACTTTGTGAGAACCAGTGGAGAGGAGCCTGAGCTCCTGGAACCCATTCCCCACGAATTCAAGGCATAATATGCATACAGTGCAGTACACAGGAGAACCAAGAAAACCAAAGGAACCATGATATTAGGTGCTGGAACCTATTTATTCCCCATGAATTCATGGCATAATAGGTATACGGCATAGCACACGGGATAACCAAGAGACCCCATGTAACAATAATACAAGGTGCTGGAACCTATTCCCCATGAATTCATGGCATAACAGTCACACAAAACTTTGTCACATTCAATGGCAAGGCACCTCCCTGAGCTACTGGAACTTTTTCCCTATGAATTCATGGCATAATAGGTATTAAAAATAAAAGCCTATTACTACTATAAAAATGTTTCTCATCATTGACTAAAAGTGTGGTATTCTTTTCCTCAAAGAAGTATTAAAGCAAATTTTAATATTGTCCTTAAAAAAAAAGAGAAGATAATAAAATTAATAACTTGCTGGTATCCAGTATATTCCAAATAATCAATTGCAAGGATCTTCAAAAGACTTTGGCTTATGTGGTCAAAATTGCCTAACTCTGAGCCAGACAGAAGGTACAACATAGGATGACAGATGGGGACAGAGAGAGAGATAAGAAGAAAGGAAAGGGGACAAAAGGGGGGAAAAGTAAAAGACCAAGGAAGAGGACTGTGTGAGCATATTATTGGTAAATAAACAGAGGATAACAAGAATAGATCCACAATAGTGCTTGATGTTCTAGTGAATGATAGTTCTAGATGGATGAGTTAGGCGCTTGAAATAGATTTGACTCTGAACACTGTATCAGTACCTCAGACTATGCAATCACTGTAGTGCCCTTGGGATAAAGAAAAAAGAAAAAACAAAACCTCAGGACATGTTTGTAAGATATGCTATTACTAATAGTCCAAAGACTTTTTCTAATATCAGCTGAGTAGCACAACAGTCGTGGTGATACCCACAAATCCGCCCCACATCCAATGTAATCAGGGCCGTGACTGTTGTAAATTACAAGTACTTGTAAGTCCAGAGTACTAAGGATGTTGTCCATGGTACATCGTTCATTCTCTGTAGAGTCGAAGAGCACCATGAAATTACCTTAGAACGCACCTTTGGGGCTCGCCCGTCTAATGCTGCTATGGAAGAAACTTATTAACAAAGACAGAAGCCTCGGGGAAGGAAGACCCCTCCAGCATCCTACCCAGCACCAAGCAGGAATCCCCTGTACCCCCCTGTGAGCTCTGCCACCCTGATTCCTCAGGGGGTGAGGAAAGACAGGCAGTGACTTTTAATCCTTGGAATTTATCCTTCACTCTGTACTTTCAATCATCCTGTTTCCTTGGGGGATGAAAAGCTTTCTTTTCACTGGCCAGTGTATCAAGAGGAAAGGTACAAGGGGCCACTTTGGTTTAGGAGGTAGATGGTGGATTTGCAAACCTTTTAGCATCCGTCGTGCTGGGTTTGAGTCGCAGCAGCTTGTTTTCCAAAGACTGTTTTCTTTCTAGTAATGTTCTCTTTTCCTAGGAGAAAATAAGATACAATTTTTAATTATTTGCCTGAGAGAGAGAAAGAGAGAGAGAGAGTCTGTGTGTGTGTGTGTTTGTAAGAGAGAGTGTTTGGTAAGGAATTTTTCTTATAATACTAAAAATAGGGCTCAAGCTGAAGAGTGAATTCCACGTGAGTTGCTGCACTCAGCCCCCAGCTGAGGAAATCGGATCGGGCGTTCTCCTGTGTGCTTTAATCCATAACTCAAAAATAGGTCAAGAGTGGTGGTGTTCACTCACTCACCTGCCTACAAGTTAGAGCTGCTAACATGTGGCCTGGGCAGCTCAACCTTTCCTCCCTGCCTGCCCCTATCCTACCCCAAACAAAGAGCCTGCCCAGCCTTCACTAGACATTGGCATTCCTGCCATCGCACCTGCTCCCCGGCATTACATTGAGCGGTTGGTATCCCAGGACATAGGATAGCTCTCCCTGCTCACATAGCATCTGTTAGAAAGTAGAAAAGCAAAATGTGGTTTTGGTGAAGGATCAAAGCCACAAATGATACAATGACTTAGGATACAGGTGTGCCTATGGCACTGACAAAGGATATCTGAAAAAAAATTCTTTAGCTAATTATTAAACCAAACTCTTTCCATCAAAAAAAAAAAAAAAAATAGGTGAGTCCATGAAAAATCAAACTGGGATGATGGTGTGAATTTTACATTTAATGGGAACATGCTGAAAGGGGGGGATTTAGAACTTCGGCCTGCTGGTTGAGTTGCCAAGTTGGGGGAATCAGGACAGACTGATAGAGACAGGGCTTGGTGTTGGGAACATGGAAACTATCCACAGTGCTGTTAAAAATCGCTTCCTGCTTCAGCACTTGAATGTGTTTATACAAGGCAGGGCAGTGTAGCAGAAATATCACAGAGACCTTGCACATAGACAGACCTATTTTTAAAATTTGGGCCAACGTTTCAACCTTTCCAGGCCTTATCCACGTTAGAGAAATTAACCAAAACTCAGAAATAAAAATAACATATGGCGTGTGGCTTTAACATCACTTTGGGTCATTGTTGAATAATCTGACCCAAGAATTATTTAACAACCTCAGAGGATTTCTGTGTGTTGGACTTTATTATTTATTAGATAAGAGCCCTGACTCTGTTGCATGTGAATTTGTAGATTTCTGTGTGGTAGAATAGACATTCCTTATGGTTATGGTTTAATTGCCTTAAAGAATATTGATCAGTTTTGTTATTTAATTTAGTAACCCCACTGTATATTCCTTTTTTCCCAAAAAAATGCCTTTGATAGAAAGTTTCTCAAAGCATTTTATTTAAAACAGCTTTCCTCTCTTAAGAATCTGGTCATTAATTAATGAGTTGGTTAAAACATGTGACATGGATTCAGTCTACATTTGTATGAGCCATATTTTTAACTTTTTAACCTCCCTAAAATGAGGATAATAATATTGAAATGTTGGGATGATTGGAGATACTATATGTGAAAAGTCTGCATGTTTCCCTGGCACATAGTTGCACATCAATACATGATAATTTGAAGGTACCAATTACTTCAACTCTACGGGTTCTGTTATTTTTAAAAAGTTATACTAACTTTTTCCAATTTTTCTTATAGTAACCGTGCCACACAGAAATTGTCTAAAACAGACGTAGTCATGTTCAAATTATTTCTGAGGGATCACAGATGAACCTTGCAAGCTTATGATGGTGCATGAATCATGGAGGAAACTCACTGCAGATATTGTATTTTGACTTTGCAGAATGGGGAAAAAATGGTGTTTAGCAAATGTTCTTTAGCAAAAGTCTAACAGACTTACTCTTGATTAATGGATTTTTCAGAAACAGGGGTTAAGGAGCTCAGACAGCTGAACAAAGGAGCGCTCTCCCCCTACCAGGGCTCTAGCGTCTCACTTGGGTTTGAGGCGCCTACTCTTAGCACTTCTCAGGCCTTGTGGAAAGAGAAAGGGAGCTCCCAGCACCACAGAGTGGGCACCCCCCAGTTCCCAGAGCCATACCTCTGGAGACCCGAAGCTTTCATCCTGTTGATGGGAGCGAAATGGGCATCAATTTAAATCATACATGAGTTAGGAACCAAAGATGTGATTTTGATCTGGCATCGGAGAACACAGGGGGATGGTGGAAAGGGTTGTGCACTAGACACTGCAGGACTGCAGCACCGTTTCTGGTCCGTGCTGTCTTCATTTATAAAACGATGATGAGGAACTAGGTGGCCTCAAAAGTGCCCTTGAGCTCTAACATTCTAATAGAGCTAAATCAACGATGCTAGCAAACAAATATGACGTAACAGAACTGCACTGCCAGCAGAAGAGCATATGCCATGCACTCTTAGTCAAGTGATCAAAACGCTCTTAGTGGGCATCTCTGCCGGCTTATCACTGTGTTGGTGGGGTTTATTCTCACTGCATTCCTGATTAAAGTGGGGCAGATGGTGAAGGTTCTAAGTAATGTGTTCATTACCAGACCTCATCCCACTAATGGCTACTTACTGGAGCAGTGGATTGTTCAAGTGAGGAGCAAATAAATCCTTCTCCAGGGGACACCTACTCGCAGGGCAATATTTATCAACCTTTGTGAGGATGTTCATTTTTAATTTTCACTTCCTTTTTGAACTCATGCCTTTTTCCTACTAATGCAAAAGGCTCAGCACCCCCTCTCCTCACACTCTCTCCACTGAGACACCCTTCCTTCCCTACAGCCCGTCTTCTCATCTTCTTCTTGAGCCAAGCAGATGTTGCCCAGCTCTGCTTCTTATAGTTTCATATATTTGCTTGGTTATTTCCTAAACATAAAATATCTTTAAACCAAATATTTTTAAAAAGTAAAAAATAAGACTCAGTGCACATTGCCCCTCCAGGAGGCATTGCCCCTTCATTCTCACTTACTTCCACCTGCCAGAGATTCCAATAAGCTCCACTCCAGGAAGTCACAAAGCTAGAGTATTCTGGAAGGTTGCTGCACGGCTTTGCCAAGCCATGAGCAACCTAACCACTTACTTTGTCCCAGACCTCTTAGAGACAGCCCGTAGGCATGAGTCAATATCTAAGCTGTTCTGCCAAGGAATGGTCTCAGTGTAAAAGATAAATCAAAACAATACAAGCAAAAAAAAAAAAAAAATCTAGGTGAGAGGTAGGCCATCACTTCTCAAAAACATCCTGCTAGCATTTGAGCCACTGAACTTTGCTCTGAAGTACAGTCCCCTTCCTTCAATAGAGTTGTCAGCCTTTCTAAAATACCCGTAGGAGAATTTCAAAAGGGAAATCTGTAAGTTCTTTCAGCCCCACATACTCCTAATAGACTACACTGTAATCTCCATGTCTGGCCCATTCACAAATAGACATCCACCCCCTAGTTCTAGGTGGCACACAGTAGATGATTCAATGTTTATTAACTATGCAGTCTAGTAAATAACACCCCATCTTTCAGAGATGAACTCCCATCTAGTACAGATTTCCCAGGGTTACTAGCAAAAAAAGAAATTATCTTCTGTTCTTTTGTTAATTTTCAGGACCTGAGAAATGGACATCAAACCAGACCCAGTATGACTGGGTTTGAGCCAGGGTGATCACAAGTCTAAACTGAAATTTCAAACTGGTTAATCAAACTGGTTAAACAACCCTGTTTGTTTTCCGAATTGTCTGCCTTTCCTAAATGCAGACATTCTTTGTCCTATCAGCTCATTTATTCCAGGATAAAGTATTCCCATACTACCCAGTACTCAATCAACTATTACTGTGTTTGCAAAACAGCATAATTATAAACTGTCATGCCTGGATGAACGAACTGCTTAAGGACATCCTAGACTTCCAGAGATTCTGCTGAAGTCTAACACTCAGTGACCTGTGGCGCAATACAGATGCGGCTGAATATTATCAGTATGAGATCCAGTTGAGTTTGGGCATATGTAATTTTTGTGATATCCCCAGGGCCTTCATTAAGATAACAAATTAACCAAATTCACCGGGTTATGCAACTTCAAATTCTTGGGAAATATTTTCAAACCAATCCAAGTTCCTTTGATAAGAAACCTGAATATTAAAATGTGATACTTTGGAAGTGACATTTACAGAATGACATAACCCAGGCAGACCCCCAAACCCAATTAAAGCTGAGAAGCGCAGAGGCAGACCAGGGGATGGATGCAATAAATGTACAAATGTATTGTGTGATATTTACTAGAGGCCAAACTCTATATTCTTCCCTACTCCCAATTCAGAGATGCCCCTTTTCCTTGTTTTCCTATTAAAAAATAATATTCCTTGATGGTCTGAGTTCTAAATTCTAAGACATGTATTAAATTTATGTGTTTACCTTTTGTGTGTATTTGGAGTGCTAGCTACTTAAAGGAACAGTGCATAATGCTTTTTCTAACTTTTGTTATATCACTCTTTTCCCTAAATATATCTCTTGAAAAGTCTTAATCTGTAAATGACTTTTCTTAATGGGAATTGCATCTCTCCTAGGACAGCCATATATTTTTACAAACCCAAAGTGGGCAAAAAGGGGTACGGCACTGACTAATCCATGAGAATACCACAGTGATCTGTTATAGTATAACTCCGAGTAGGTGGACTTGGTGACCTTTTCCATTATTTTCACTCGCCTGGTTCCCCTTTCTAAGACAAACACTTACTAGAAAGAGAAAGTGAGAGCCAGGTCTGGTAGCTCCTGCCCATAATCCCAGCCTTTTAGAAGGCTGAGGTGGGAGGATCACTTGAGCCCAGGAATTCAAGACCAACCTGGACAATGTAGTGAGACCCCATATCTACAAAAAATTTTAAAAATTAGACAGCTGTGGTGGTGCATACCTGTAGTCTTAGCAACTCCAGAGGCTGGGGCAGAAGGATTGCTTGAGGCCAGGAGTTAAGTTTGCAGTGAGCTGTGATCACACCCCTCACTCCAGCCTGGGGGGCAGAGTGAGATGCTGTCTCCAAAAAGTACAGTATTTTCAGAGAGTGAAATGAATAAACTGTAGTACAAATCATATTACAGAGGGGTTTTTCGTTGTTGTTGGTGGTGGTGGTGGTAGGTTTTTTAGACAGAGTCTCTCACTGTTGTCCAGACTAGCTAGAGGGTGTGGCATCAGCCTCACTTACTATAACCTCAGAATACTGGGTTCAAGGGATCCTCCTGCCTCAGCCTCCTGAACAGCTGGGACTGTAGGTGCCTGCCACCAAACTTGGCTAATTTTTCTACTATTTTGTAGAGATGGAGTCTTTCCCTTGCTCAGGCCAATCTTGAATTCCTGCACTGAGTAATCATCCCACGCTGGCCTCCTGGAGTGCTAGGATTTTAGGTGTGAGTTACCACGCCTGGCCAGTATAAAATCATATTAAATATTTAGGGAAGACACTAATGAACCTGATAGACTAAAACACTGAATCAGAGAATTAATAACGTGTATATGTTCTTCATAGAGTGTTCTTATTTGTTACCATAAAGCAAACTTCTTGGACTGGTGTAAGACACTTCCTAAGACCAGGTATGGGAAAGAGTTTTTCCACATAATGTGTCTTATTTACTACAATGTCCCATTGATTTTAGTGTTATTTCCTTTCATTCTCATCTTGTGTTGGGAAGAAAGTCCTCTAATTCTCCAGGGTCTTACTTTTTCCATTCTCTGTACAAGGTTCTCCAAGTCTGTGATTTGACTGTGTTTTTCTTCAAGTTTTTCAGCAACTTGATTCAGCTGTTCAACATGTTCGTTCAATTTCCGTTCTTTTTCGAGCTTGTTAACCTTTGATCAGAAAATCATCAAACTCCTGTTATTAAACTGATACACGCATTACTCCCTCCATTAATTCTCTAATTATCAAAACAATTAAGAATTCACCCATGTTTAGACTTGCTCTCTTGATTTTAGTGGTTTTTCCAAAATAAACCTGATAGACTAAAACACTGAATCAGAGAATTAATAACGTGTATATGTTCTTCATAGAGTGTTCTCGTTTGTTACCATAAAGCAAACTTCTTGAACCGGTATAAGACAGAGAGATGTTAATTTAAGAAAAGCAGACGTTTTGAGTTTTCCACAACAAAAATTTCCTACAACAACCAAAAGAATCTTTTAGATTCAACAACAACAAAAATGTTTCTTTTCAATCAGAAAGCACCAGAAAAACAAAGTAATTCTGCGCAGTGTGTCCTGGGGTCCGGCGGAGGCCCAGAGCAGGAGCTGTGTGAAAGACGCCAGAGAAGAGATGTCTGCATCTGGCAGCCCCAGGGGCCACGCTGGGAGCGTCTCCACAGACTTCTAAATGCTCTGCGTCTGTGCTGAACATAAGTCAAGATTTCACCGTCAAAAATAAAAGTGTCTGACTTCCGCTCAAAATACCAGGTGGACATTCCAGGCCCCCATTGCAGGAACACAAGTATTGTGTTCCCAGAGGCCCCACTGCTAACACTGTGCACCCCCATCCACACCTGCCCCTCCTCTCACTTCTGTTTCTCATCTCCATCCTGCATTGCCATCCACAGGATGAGAGGGCCTCAAGGTAGGAAATCCCTGGGGACCTCCCTGAGGCCTGAGCTGACAAAAACCCAGGTGCCCCACTCTGGCATGAATGAACTTCCTCATTAGCCATTTTACATTTTGAATTTCAACACACACACACACACACACACACACACGCACACACGCACAAACCTATTTTTCTCTTTCAGTCTCAGAATACATTTTTCAGACAGAGGTTTGTTGTCCTAGTAAACATACTTCCCATTTAGAAACCAACAAAAAAAAATGTATATGAGTGGGTGCACATTTTTTTATGTTTTAAATTTATATATATTTTTAAAATATGTAAAAATACATATTTAATATGTTAATGTATAATATATATATACACATAGATACGTGTTTTCCTTTGTTTTGTTTTTATTATTTTTTTTAATCTGGAGAATGTATTCCAGGACCAAAATGATTTTGAAACCTAAAATAACTCTTTTATTACAGGGACAAGGAAAGCCAGTGCAAAGAGGTAGAATCATGTGGTCTGGGTCATCTAGTGAGTCAAGGGCAAAACTGGAAGAGAAGTCACTGGCAGGTTCAGAGGGACCAGCCCTGGTAGCCAGGCAGGGCGCCCAGGCCCCACGGCACACTGACAAGGGCTCTGGGTAAGAATGGCAAGGACACAGTAGCTTAGCAAACTTTGGGTGTCAGTGAGAGTGGAGGGAGACCAGCGGGGAGGGAGGATCGGCACCAAAAGTCCCTGGGTCATTGCTTGTTTCCCATCTAACTCTTCCAAAAACAGGAACTCGAATGGCTCTGGCTCCAGGTAGAGATTAGTGGGGCCTAGGTCTCCAATAGCCACACTGTGAGTTCAGTACCTGGAGTGAACGTTGACTGTCCTCGTGCTTTTTCCTCATCCCTTCAGATTGTGTTTGGTAGTTTTCAAATAATCTCTGGGCCACGTTTCTCAAAGCCGCTGCTCCTGCTTCCCTGGAGGCTTCCAGCTAGAATAGAAGGTCAATATGCATGTTAGATATTGACAATGAAAAGGGTTGAAGACAGAGCAGTTTGATGGGCGAGTGAAAACATCAAGGCTGTAACGGTAGCAGGTGTACTCTCATAAGCAATGGATGGGAGAAAAGAGAGACCCGCTATGTAGAGGGACTGTCAACTTGGCAGATTTGCCCTGGCCAAGCCAAACCAGAGTTCATGGGCCGCAAAGCCCTGCAGCTGTAGACCTCACCCTTCCAAGAACTCCTAGTGCCCTATCAACTTAAGCACTTATTTGCAAGGTTTTTATCATGAATGTCCACTGCAGTACTAAAAGGTACATGCTGCTGAAATAGGGACAAGGTTAAAGCACTAAGAGCAAAAAAGCTGAAGGGTCATGAATCTCTCAAGGACTTAACCTACAGAAATAATCAAGGATGGCTGCAAAGATGTACCGACCAAGAGATTTGTTGCATGCAAGATACACCCCCTAAAAGAAAATCTATCATGGTTGACAACAGAGGAACTCAACAAATAATGAGACATTTTACTATGAAGCTCACAATATTTATTAAAGATGTAAACACTTTAAAATTCATTGTAGTAAAAACAACTTACTGTGAGATCTACCCTCACAACAAATTTGTAAGTGGACAACACAATATTGTTAATGAGAGGCACACAGCGGTACCACAGATCTCTGGAATTTATTCTCGCATGATTGAAATTTTAGAATGATTGAACTCTTGTAAGATTGTTCTAATAATGAAAGTACTACCCAAAATAAAAGTGAGATTTGATTAGTGAAATATGAAAATGCTTCTCTGTAATTGTGAGCATACCTGTGGGCCTAAGAGAGTGAACGTGCACACACATCTCTCTGCTTCTGCAGGGACGTGAATGCTACCAGTAGATCCGATTAACTCAAAGGCTCGAAATACAAAATTTGAGATTTCTCCTAGCAGCCATACCTTTATTTTCAATACTTCATTCTCTTTGTTCATTTCTAAGAGCTGTAGCTCTTTGCCTTTCATCTTTTTCATGAGCAAATCCAAACTGCAGCAAGAAGGATCCATGTCAGAATCAGAGCCGTTTTGTAAGTTTCCAGGGGGCTGAAATGGACAGACATGAATGAAGATCACAGCCCTGACTCTTCTTTTCCTCTAGAAACTTTGACAACAATAATTATCACTCAATTATTACATATATCAAAAAGGATTCAGGTCAGCACAGATAAAATAAATCTGTTGAAATTTTTTTAATCTCTTGAAATATTAATGGAGAATTCTAGATGAAGTAGCTGGCCTATTTGCTAAAATTTTAACATATTCTGATATTAAATGTATATAAATAATATCCTCCTTCGCCATAACTCTGCCATGGTTTTGATGTTTATATTCCAGACCCGGGGGCATACTCTCATTCTCCATGTACAGGGTAGGAATTATTTTTTAATTTAACAGAAAGACTTTTGTAGAAGTTAGATTATTGGCAGTGCTAGGTGGCTATAAAGGTCATAGATCAATGCTTTTCCAACTTTAATGCGCATGGGAATCACTTGGTTATAAATGCAGATTTTGAGTCCGGAGCCCCAGGTGCTGCATTTCCAACAAGCTCCGGGAAGCAGAGCTGCTAAGACTACAGACCACACCTGAGAGTAGCCAGGGCCCCCAGTAGGGCCCTCCTGGATCATTACAATGAAATCTCCACAGGGGCAGAGGCTGGTATTTTGGTGCCTGGCTCATCTGCCAACCTTCTGTGGTGTGAAATGCTGGAAGCAGAGACATGGCCACACAATGGCATCTCCATTTCTAAGAAGCTACTTCTGTCAGGGCCACCAGCAACCTCCACATGCTTACAGCCAGTGGTCAGTGTTCAGTTCTCAGTATCTTGACCAATGGACAGCAGGGGCAGCATGGTCTCGCCCTCCCTTCTGAATGCCTTTCCTCACTGTCCTTCACTGGTCCAGCCCTCCTGCTTTTCCTCCCAACCTAGCTTCCTGCAATGGTTCTTCTTTCTCCCAACATCTACACATTGGAAACCTCAAGACTCAGTCCTTAGATCCTCTCTCATTTCTATCCACACTCACTTGCTCTCTTCCAGTTTCAGAACTTTAAATATCACGTCTATGCCTCAAATCTCAACCCTACAGCCTGGACCTTTCAGCCCAGACCGCTAACCCTGAACTCCAGAATCCTATGTCCAGCCGCTTACAAGAAACCTCCACATGGAGGTTGCAGCTCAGTGCAGTCCAAACTGACTTTTTGATCTCCATCATTTCCAAAAACAACCTTTTTTCCCCCTAGTTTCAAATCACTTAATTCAAAACACACTGAAGTTAGCTGTGTCAGTTTAGGAGGCTGGAGATGAGGGAGGGGATGGCGTGTATGTATCATACCCCATGATCTGATGTCTGTGGCCACAGTGTACAATGGATGGCACTGATGAGGTGCACTGGCTCCCATGAGGTTTAAGCTGACATGACCCAGACAAGACTAAGGGCAAATTGCTTCACCTTAGGTACAGAAGGCTGATCTTGGGGAAGGGAGTGCATTTCAGCTTATTGAATATCTGACAAGAACCTCACCCAACTCAGGTCTGAAAGCTTCAGATGTGTGTCCAGTAGAATGGTCCAGGTGAGCCTAAAAGCTTATACCTTTGTCTTTCGTCGTGAAATGTTACTGTCATGGTACCTTGGCTGGACCGACAGCATCCCACATATACTTTTTTTTTTCACTTTGTTTTCTTCTGAGGTTTTTTTTTTTTTTTAATTGAATGGTAACTATATACATTAATGCACTTCTGGGGTACAGTGTGGGGTATTCACATGCAATCCAAAATACTTCCATCAAACTGGTCAACACAGCTTTCATGTCATTTTCTCAGTTATTGTTTTAAAACGTTCACATTCCATATATACTTTAAATAAGTAAGCCTTGTTTAGTGTATTTAAGTAAGATCTGGTCATTCCAATATGATCCTACTGATGACACTCGTGGTCAAACACTTCACATCTATGGCCTTTAACATCTTCAGATACACACGAGGCATTTTAACATTCACCACTCAAAGCTTTCAAGAATTCATGATTACCTAAAAAGTTACTTAAATAAAGAACATCTACACTGCTTCATGCTAATCTTCTGGAGGAATAAAAGTAGTAAATTTTGAGAATTGTATTACCTTTACATCTAGTTTGTGATTTATACTGTTATGTCCTGATTCATCTTTAAATATTTGATTGCGGATCTTTTCCAGAGTAGTTCGAATCTAGCGGAGAAAAAAAAAATATATATATATATATATATATACATATTTATATCAAATAATTATTTAAAATATTGCCAATTGCTTTTTCCTCAATATCAGCTATTTATCTATAATGTCCATATATATATATTAATTTCAGATTTTAATAACTTCCATCAACCTAACTCGCACTTAGGCTTATATTATTGAGATTGCCAAAAATAAGCATTTGGTCTTATCACTTTCACAGACAGACCTAACATAATAACCTACGTGAATATTATCCTACAAAATAGTTATTATTTAGTAATTAGTACTTAATACTATTTAGTTCTATTTTCTCTATCTAGTAATTTAGTACTAATTTACTGTTTAGTAATTACTATAAAACAATTACTATTTAGTAATTACTACAAAATAATTACTAGCTAGCAATTACTACAAAATAATTACTCCCTAGTAATTACTACAAAATAATTACTATTAAGCAATTACTACAGAATAATTACTAAGAGATCATACAAATTTATGCATGAAATATAAGCCCACGGCTTGATGGCCTATGGAATGGCAAGACACTCAATGATGAATTAATTAATTGATCTGAACACGTTATGGACTGTGCCTGAATTTATCCATCTATTCTAAGAAACCGTTCACAAGAGTGTACAATTTCGTCAGCCATTATCATCTCAGATTCTTACAAAATTCACGTGTTTAATGAAGTAAGGTGCCCACATGTCATTGGCAGTCGCTACCCTGAACTGTGAAAAGGAGCAGGGCAAGGAGAGGCAGGAACTCAGCAGGAAACGTGAACATCTACTTGGGAACACTAGCGGTGCTCAGGAAACAACTGGAAAACATTATAAAACAGTAGGAAATCCAGCGGTGAATAGCGTGGGGCAAATTCAGTGCTGATAGGTGTTCCGAACCCTCCTGGCCCATTATTCAGTTGTACTGAGGGAAGAAAATCATTTTATTCCAAGTGTAGGAACAGTTTCACACCCTCCAGAGAAACCACCACACACGTGGGGACATTTCAGCTGGCAAGTCCGTCCTTCGCCAGAATAAGTTAGCTCCTTCTTATATGTTCTAAGGAAAGCAAAACAAAGTCTACTAATCCACATTAGCGTTTTAAAAAATCTTATCATGCTAATGACTTGGGGAACCCACGTACCTTTCTCACATATTCAGTTTCTTCAATAACGTGAGCCGATGTAGACTCATACCAGGCAGAATTATCTTCTCTCTTTCCCCTTGGAGGAATTTCTGTGGTCACTGTCACTGTTGTCATTATGAATTCTAGTGGTAAGAAAATAGAAACCAGTTAAGCAAAACACACTTCTTTTTTTTGAAAGTCAGAGCGTCACTCTGTTGTTGAGGCTAGAGTGCCCTGGCATCAGCCTCGCTCACGGCAACCTCAGATTCCTGGGTTCAAGTATTCCTCCTGCCTCAGCCTTCCTAGTACCTGGGACCTCAGGCATGCATCACCACATCTGGCTAATATTTGATTTTTTTAGTAGAGATGGGGTTTCACTTTACTCAAACTGGTCTTGAACTTCTGACTCACAGATCTTCCTGCCTCAGCCTCCCAGAGTGCTAGGATTACAGGTGCGATCCACTGCACCCGGCGCAAAGCACATCATTCTGTTTACATGATTATAAGGTTTATAAATGGAATAAAGTTGTTTTCTCACTGTAATCAAATATAGTAGAAAAATGATAAGCCATTGGTGTCTGTATATATTCATAAATCCAGGATTTAATTTAATGTGAAAACATCATCTAGATTTATTAAAAACTAGAAAATTAAATAATCTAAGAAAGAAAAATATAAAATTTCTCTTTTTATTCTGCATCATCTTAGATGATAAAATCTTAAGAGCAGGCACCAGATTTTAGTTCTCATCACATCCTAGCACACTGTGAGTACTAAGTAAGTGGTTGTGGAACTAACACAGACAATTATTACAAAATTGTGTGTTGTGTATGAATGTATCTTTATACATAGTCTATAAAGAGGATTTACTGAAGAACTATATAAATAGTAAAAGAAGATTGGTAAAACTCAAATTCCCCCACAAAGAAGACTGGCTAAAGAAACTATCACCTATTATGGAGTCATTACAATGGTGTATTATTATTTAATGAAAAAGCACAGTGTAGAAAAGAAAATATAATGTCATATTTCCTACATGAAGGGTAGGAAATATAAATAGAAGGGGGAAATCTATGTCTTACAGATTTATGTAAATATTTTACCTAATTATAAAACAAAATTGAAGGAAAGAAATCATCCAAAATGAAATAAATAAAACAAATAAATATATCTATATATCAAATTGGCGACATAACCACATCAATTATTTCAAGTGAGTTAAAAACACCTCCTAGGGACCATTCATCTCTGGTATGCTATATTCTAAGCACAAAAAGAATGGCAAATCAGAGGCAAGGCAGTTGCTCACACCTGTAATCCTAGCACTCTAGGAGGCCAAGGTGGGTGACTGCTTGAGTTCACGAATTCTAGATCAGCCTGAGCCAGAGTGAGACCCCATCTCTAAAAGGTAGCCGGGTATTGTGGGGGGCACCTGTAGTCCCAGGTACTTGGGAAGCTGAGACAAGAGAATCGCTTGAGTCCTGGAGTGTGAGATTGCTGTGAGCTGTGACGCCACAGCACTCTACTGAGGGTGACAAAGTGAGACTCTGTCTCAAAAAAAAAGGCAAAACAATCTTAAACTATATTTTCAAGCTATTAAACGTGTGTGTGTTCATATGCACAGGTGCAAACTGTACCAGAAGGCCAATAAGTAAATGCACGACTATTGTGAATAATCAAGATATTTAGCATAAAAGAAAAAATAAAACATAGAGCCAAAAATGTAAGGTGAAAACATTGCAATCCGAACTGCAATTATGGGTATGAAATAATGGTTTGTTCTCCTTAAAAATACATATATTCTATCTCTCCACTGAAAAACCTAGGTCTCTGAATATGATATCCTACTATAAAGAAACTATGGCTTCTTGGCTAATTCATGGCTAAGGCAAGAAATATATAAAGTAAACCTGAGATATCTGGTCATAGCAGAAAGCTAAAGTGTGATCGAATAGTACTTGAATAGGAAACAAGAGCCTTCCTGAAGAACGGTGTGATGGATTGAAACACATCAAACATATTAAATCCCTGAATTGACGAGGACAGAAGAAAAACCCACAATGACACCACACACTGCCCACTTTTGGAAGGTGATTAGGCAACAACTCAACGGTGGTACACGACTATGCTAAAAACAGGCAGAAACAAAAACAAGGAACAAAACAAGCACTTGTCTTGCCTTCACCATAGGAACTGTATTTTACAGCAGCCAAATAGTTGAGGAGGGAACATCTCCTATGGAATTCTAGCTACTACAGTCAAAAGCATTGACAAAATTAGAAAACCTGTATTTTGTGACCCTTTATAAAGGATCTAAACAGCAATCATCACCCAAGGCTAAAATGTTAGCTGGACGTTTAATGAGGAATACACGAACCTGAGAGACCTCATTGATCAATTTTAATATAACTAAAAAAATTACCCTAAATTAAGGACTTTAAGGATCTTAAGAGATACAGGACCAAATGCAATATATTAAATAGGAATCTTGTTTGGATTTTGACTCCAGCAAACTAACTATACAAAGACATGGAGAGGATGAAATTACGACATTCTTATAAAGATCCTATCTATTAGTGATACTTACTAAAATGTTTACAGGTGAAAGGATATTGTTACCTTAGGAACTGCTTTAAAGTACTCCAGGAGGGAGGAAAAAATGAGATGGAGATGAAAATGAAAGATTATGAATGTCTGCAATAAACATTCTGGTGCAAATATCTTTGTTATAAAGTGATTTTTGGTCTTCTGGATATATACCTAGTAGAGGAATTGCAGGATCAAATGGCAGGTCTATTTTTAGATCCCTAAGTGATCTCCAAACATCTTTCCAAAAGGAACGTATTAGTTTGCATTCCCACCAGCAGTGCAGAAGTGTTCCCTTTTCTCCACATCCACACGAACATCTCTGGTTGTGCTGGAGGGAGGGTAATTCATGGGAACACAACTACAGTGCATTTTACAAGGGTACATGTTAAATTTACTAAGTGTAGAGTATAAATGTGTTAACACAATAACTAAGAAAATGTGGTGAAGGCTATTTTAACCAGTTTGATGAAAATATTTCAAATGATATATAAAACCAGCACATTCTACCCCATGATTGCATTAATGTACACAGCTATGATTTAATAAAAAAAAAATGAAAGAAGTTTGGCAAAATGTAGGTAATTATTGAAGCTGGGTGCTGAGCACAAAAAGTTCATTATACATCTCTCTATTTATTTTGGTTTTGTTTGAAATTTCTACAACAAATAGTTAAGAACTAAAAAACAAACTAGGTCAGGCACCTGTAATTCTAGCACTTTGGAGGCAGAGGTGGGAGGATTGCCTGAGGATAGGAGTTTGAGAACAGCCTGAGCCATGTAGTGAGATACTTATCATCTCTACAAAAAAGAAAAATGTCTAACTAGGTGTGGTGACACGCACCTGTAGTCTCAGCTACTCAGGAGGCTGAACAGGTGGGTCCCTTGAGCCCAGGAGTTTGAGGTGGCTGTGAGTTAGGCTTGTGCCACTCCACTCCAGCCTGGGCAACAGAGAGAAGCCCTGTTGCAACAATAAATAAAGAAATGAATAAAAATTAAAAGTAAACTGTAATAAAAAAAAACCTGTGAAATAGGATCATTAATCCCACTTTACTGATCCGAAAACTAAGATTACCCTGGTAATGTTAGTTTATTCCAGATCACAATAAAGTTATCAGTGCTAATGCTCAAACCTTGGTCTTTTTGAAACCAAGTTCAGGCACGTGTCCCTCGCGTTACAGCTGGCTCCCTAGAGAAAAACAACAACAACAACAACAAAATATTACTATTCAAAACCTAGCAACGACCTACACTGCTGAAAGAAACAAAGACTTTTTCTATTTGCCAGCGTTGCTTTGAAAGAAGATCGCTTCTAGGGGTACCACCAAGTCCCACATTTATCCCTTAATCTTCAGTGAGATTGGCAGAGCATGCCAAGAATTTTCCATTTTATTATAAATCCTCTTAAACAGCAGCTATGGCTCCTGTTTGTTTCAGCTGAAGTTCATCCATCCGGCGACAGCAATTCTGCAAGGCTGCTTTTGCAAAATGTGAGTGGGAGCGTGTCTCTTGCTGGGTCCTCTGAAGTCGCTTCGGGGATTAAGATCTTGGTGCAAAACAACATTTACATGCTCAGAGTAAAAGAAGCCGTCGGCGACAATATGCAACGTGCTTGGAAGTCAGAGTGAGGGTGGGCAGGCCAGGGGAGAGGTCAGCGGGCCAGCGGGAAGGTCAGCGGCCCACTGCCTGGGAGCCCAGTCACACCCTCTGCCTGTTTGTACAGCCTGTGAGCTGAGAATGGGTCTTCCACTTTTAGTGGAATAGTTAAAAGAAAAAAAAGGAAAAAGAATATGTTGTAACACATGAAAATTATATGAATTTCCAATTTAATATCCATAGAAATGGTTGAAAAAATCAAAGATGCATGACATTTCATGACACATGAAAGTTACATGAAGTTCAAATTTCGTACCCAGAAATGAAGTTTTACTACAATGTCATCACGGCCATTTGTTTACATGGTATCTATGCTGTTTGGCACTTCAACAGCAAGAATGTGGCCAGCAAAACCTAAAGTTTCTACTATCTGGCCCTTTCTGGGACAGGATTACTGACCCGGAGTTAGTGCATGGCAGGGGATGGGAGCAGGACCGGGGAAAATGGAGAGAAAGCGAACGATCCGGCCTGTGTTGGGTTTTCTCCTCTAGTTCAATCCCCCTTGGTCTACGGTCCCTCTTGATAGATTTCATTTCATTTTTTCTTTTTAGAATATGACACAGTATGTGTGTTAAAAAATAACAAGAGGCATCTTATCAAAGGACTAGATCACTCTTTAAAATGGACTCCACTCCCTTCTCAAAATGTCTTTCAGAATATAAATAGCAATTACGCTGGGCCTCATATCATATATCCTGAAATATATTCTCGTATGTGCCTTTTTTTTTTTTTGAGACAGAGCCTCAAGCTGTCTCCCTGGGTAGAGTGCCCTGGCATCACAGCTCACAGTAACCTCCAACTCCTGGGCTCAAGCGAGTCTCCCGCCTCAGCCTCCCAAGTAGCTGGGACCACAGGCACTCGCCACAGCGCCCAGCTATTTTTTGGTTGCAGCTGTCTTTGTT